ATGAGATGATCTAAGGGCAAACTCCTAAGTTCTCTCAGGCCTGTTTTCCTAATCTATCAAGCTAGGTTCATCATGGTACTTACTGGTCCTGTCAGAGTTCTCAAGAAGCACCTAAGACCCTCTGTGCTAATGGGACTCCACAGCAACTTGGAACATTTTTATGCACGGTGATCTGGAGTTTTGAATTATATATTATCCTTCTCTAGGTCACATATTATCTCTCTTTTCTTGATGCATTTCAAATACTGAATATAATGTGGGCAAACATTTTGCTTGTTTTTATAAATTAGGAAAAGCTCATGTTGAGAACCACCAAGAGTTTAAGTTTTGAAATTTCATGTCCAAAATAGGAGGGGTGCCTAAAAGGTTAAAAATAAATAAATAAAAACAAATACACTGTGAATAAGGATTGAAAGGGTATAGCAATTTGTGCTTAACTTCCTGGTCCTTTATTTAAAAAACAAATTTTCACATAGGTATTGTGTTCTGAAAGAAAAATAACCACCTGGGTCATATAAAATAAATAAATAAATAAATAAAACCACCAAGGATACTCCTGACATAGGCAGGCCAGGAGAATCAAGAGATTTTAAGCCACAAAATTGTATATCTGAAGCTAGAATTCTTCGTTTGCTCTAGTTATTTAATACACATTTCTTCTGATTTACTTTGAACTGAACTCTTGTTGTAGGCAGAGTAAGTAGCAGAAAAGAAGATTGATTTAGTCAGAAAACAAAATTATATTTCTACAACTTTCTAACTTCTTTAATGTCTTCTGTTGCTAAACATTTCCAGAGTTTAGACTAAGAAGAACAGGGAGAAGAAGGAACTAGGGGTTGCAGGAAGCCACACAATTCTGGACAGAATGTGTGCTGCATGGTGTAATTGCTGGTATTGGTCAGTCTGAATGGGAGAATGAACATCATCCCTGTACCATCTCTGCTCTGAGAGAACTTCTACTTATTTCAGATGCTAAATGATATAAATCAAGAAGGGCTTTGGTAGAGGAAGCAAGAGGTGAATTAGTTTTAGGAATACATATTTTGGCACAGAGTTCCAACTCTGTTTGTCACTTACTAGCTGTGTGACCTTGGGTAAAGTACTTAGCCTGTTATGCCATGCGTGAAAGGGGATAGTAACTGTGCCAACTCAGGGGGTTGCTATGAAGATGAAAGGACTTAATAAATGGAAAGCACCTGGAAAGGTGCCTTGCAATTTGTAAGCATCTGTTAAGTAAAACTCAAGAAATGCCTGTGGCATGGCACATATGGCACTAAAAGTTTTAATTGAATACATATTACATCCAGTGAAAGGCAACAAATATATTAATACATTCCAATAGATGTGGTTTAGACAAAAGCAATACTATATATAAAAGGGTAGTTTTCAAAAAAGTAGATCATGTATCTCATACAAATATAAAGTGATTGCAGTCAAATATCATATGTAACTCATTTGTTAATGAGGGAAACTAGTTCAAAGGAGTATTAAAAGAGCAGATACAGGACAACAGTATTGATATTAATTTGCTAGTAGATGTACAGGGCATAAATTACTTTCATCTCTACCATACAAAATCCCTGTGCATTTCTGTGAAAAAAAAAAAAATTTGAGGGCGCTGGTTGAGGCTCAGTGTAGAGCACTTGCCTAGCATGTGTGAGGCACTGGATTTGATCTTCAACATCACATTAAAAAAATAAAATAAAAGTATTGTATCCATCCATAACTAAAAAATTTTTAATTTTTTAGATGCCATCCACCTTTTACTGAACTAGAAAATAAGTTAAGGGAAAGGTTCAGATGCCTATAGTCTTAGGTCATTGGAAGGGTCCACCAGGCACAGATTTAAGGAAATAATCTTTTGCCCATTTAAAAGGCTTGCCCAATTTTCCTTGATTTAGGGAATTATGCAGTCAGTTCTTCTGAGGGTTAGTGAAATGGCATTAGAGTAACTTGTATGAAGATGTTGACCTTAACACTTCTCAGCTCTGTGAAATTGTCATTTTACCTCTTTGAGCATCACCACCCTTTTCTGTAAAATTGGGCTAACAGTATCTAGCACATGGGAGCTCTTATAAAGATGAGATGATATGTGTCTAGAGCTCCTGATCCAGTGTGTGACTCATTCAACCAATAGTAACTATTATGGTTTTAATTATAATTACCTGAGCCAACCAAAGACTAATTGCTCAGTTTTGCTTCTGCTATATCCAGTCAACCTAAGTAGAAATTTGAATCCAGCATTAGGGAAAGCCCAGGGGAAGTAAGGGGCAAGGCTCCCACAAGGGACACTGGGAACATCAGCTCGATTAGAGAAAGGGACTAAGGAGAGAAGGCTGATAAATAACACAGGTGGATAATACCCAGCTTTTAGAGAAGCCTTGGTATCCAGACAGAGGAGTTTTAGCTCTGTATAAATAAGCACCCAGTTCAGAATCATCTGGAATACAGATTCCTGGTCCTCATCCTCAACTTATTAACTTCATAACTGGCAATTGGGAGTCTGTATTTTATCAAGTTACCCAGAGGTTGCTTGAGCAAATGGAAATTTAAGAACTACCGTTGCAGATATAAGATACAAATTTTTTTGATTAAAATTTTTTCAAATTTATGGAGGTGTGATTGAAAGTAAAACTTGTATTTATTTAATGTGATATGTTTTCACATGTACATTGTGAAATGTTTATCACAGTCACGACACTTTTAAATGGAAACTTACAGGAAATAATTGAAAGACAAAGGGCTCCAAGCTTGAGTGACAAGCCATGACTGCATCAGTCGATGATTTTTTTTTTTTTTTATACTGGGGATTGAAGTCAGGGGCATAAAACCACTGAGTCACATCCCCAGCCTATTTTGTATTTTATTTAGAGACAGGGTCTCACTGAGTTGCTTATCACCTCACTGCCCAGTAGTCAATGATGTTTTTATGAAACACTCTCAAATTAAAGCTTCTTTGTTTTCTTACCCCTTTCTCTTGTCAATTATATGTTACTCTACACACAAAGGACTATATGAGAGAAATCCCAATCACCTTAAATGAAAATGTTTTGTTTTGGCAACCTTAAATGAAAATGTTTTGAATTTAGGCATGATCCTGCCTGTAAAGAAAAAGAAAAGCTGTATTGACTGTTTATTTCAAAGATCAAAATGTATGGCACTGTTTACAAAGTGAACATGTGTAGTTACTTTGTTCTTTCTAGGCAAGGTATAAAATCCTTAAGGGTTGGGCAAGATGGTTGGGAACTCATTTATATTCCCCAGTGAGGAGTTCAGTAAATGCATGGTCGTTGAACTGAGTTTTTAAATGATCCTTAGAGATACCTGATAATATAACCATAACCCTTTGCCCTGGAATTAAGCCTGTTTTTCAGAGTCCCTTGGTTCAATTCCCTAGTACACAGTAGTCCTTTGTGAGGCTAATTAAAATACCTGAGAAATATGGGAATTATCTGAAAATTAAAAGTTAGAGTATGCTCAAAATCCTAGCCTCAGCTGGCCCCCTGTGAGACTTCCCAGTATTAGATATGTCCTTAACCCTAATTGTTTATTCCAATCTCCTGTCTTGTTTGGAGGAAAATTACAAAGGGTACCTAAGGAGGCTTTGATGGTTCTTATAACTTATTCTACCAAACTACAAATGTAAAAAGCAAAACCAAAAAGTTTTTGGTTGCAAGTGTTTTACTTTTTGTTATGATCTTACTTTTAGGGAAAAAGAAAACCTATGTTATAATCATTTAGCATGTAAGAGAATTAAAACATTTTTTTTGGTGTTATTGGGTAAAAAGATGTCATATACCCAGAGGATAAGTTGGTGCATTTTCAAACTTGAGACTGTACCCATACTTATATAAGGATGAGATTTATATACACTTATTGTTATTTGATATTCAATGGCATATATTTTAATGCAATATATTACAGGAGATATTGAGTATGAAATGCATTATGCAAAGAATTTATTTTTATTAAATATTTATTGAATCTAAATAAATGACTTCTTTCCACTTCTGAACCTGAGTTTATGGCTGTATTATTAAAAATCACATTATTTAGAACAAGTTTATATTTTGTTTCTGTTCTTAGCATTCTATGGTATATGTTTTAATTACTTAATGAATTAATTAAAATGCTTAAAGACATATTTTTGTGATTTTAGTATAAAATTCAAAGCAGAATCAATTGTATTTTCCTTTTTTATTGGTGCATTGTAATTAGGCATAATTAATAGGGATTCATTATGCCGTATTCCTCATTCCCCAGGACTCTCCTTTTTTTTGCCCCTCCTCCCTCCCTGGATCTGGTTGCTCCACTCTACTGATCTTCCTTCTATTATTGTTATTTTAATTAGTGCATTATATATATGTATGTTTATATATATATGTGTGAGATATATATGATTTACACATATGAATCATTGTGGTTCGTTCAACATAGCATAGTTTAGTAGATTCCATTGCCCAGGATTTCCCCAGACCCTCCTCTCTACCCTCCCTCTCAATCCCCTTCCTCTATTCTATTGGTCTCCCTTTTATTTTCATGAGATTCCCTTCTTCCTCTTTTAAAATTCCTTGCATTTCTCCTCTATGACTGAGTAAAACTCCTTTGTGTATGTATATACCATATTTTCTTTATCCATTTATCTGTTGATAGAACACCTAGTCTGGTTCCATAACTCACATGTATTTTTTTACCAAACACATTACTTGAATTTTTGATTGCATTATATATGCAAAGAATGGATTAAATACTGCTTTCTTGGAGATTCTCATCACCACCCAAGAAACTCAGTCTTTGTTTACTTAGTGCCATTGGCTGATTTGACCCATGGGAAAAAAACTGATGCTGTGTGAATTGATGAGAAATGTGTGAGCCTGGTGATTTAAAATTCAAGTGTTTTATAATTGATGTCTTTATAAATGCAAAATGGTTGACTTTTTTTTTAACTTTGCATTCTTTAGTGACAGAACTTTATCTTTCATGCTGTTCACTTTTTCCAGGTTTTAGGGACAAAACCAGAGCTTCCGGATGGAGACAATGATGACGACACCATAGCAGATATAAGTAACAGGAGGATGGCCAAGCTCTACATGGTGAGTTCCCTGAAAGCAGATCCGTGGTTTTCACTGGGCTGGAGGGGGTGGAGCCTGTATGGAGGGCTCTGCTGTAGTTCATGACTCTCCTCATTGCCCACATACATGTGGAGGTTCCATCAATTTCTTGCTTTTGTATATTTGTTAAAATTATCATTTTATTACTTTTTGCTATTTTCATTAAAAACAGCAAATAAATGGACTTACTGCTGTGACTTACATAAATTTAGATTTGTTATTCTACTAGCTTACAACAAAAACTATGATATGTTGCACTCAAAAATATGTTTTCTTTATGGAGAACAACATTTTGTAAGCTTTTTCTTGTAAATTCTTGATAAAATTATAAGATTTTAACTTATTTAAAATGCCCTCTCTAGCCAAATAAAGACTTTCCTTCAATCAGCTGTAAGAAATCAGGGTAAAACCAGCCCTCTCCTGGGTACTGACAGTCCTGGTTCTATGTCAGCTTTCTGGCTACATGACCATGGGCAAGATATAAGCATTCTGGGTCTTAATTTTTTTTTATCTGAGGAGAGGGAGAGAGACAGATAGACAAATACACACAGAGATTATATTAGAAAATTACTCAGGTACCTTCCAATTATATAATTTTTTAAATTTTATGGCTGATGAGGATAATAAAAAATTCAAAACAAACCGGTTAAGCAGGTTGCTAAAATGTTTCCTCCGCTTCCAACTTTCTAAGCAAATAATTCAGAGCAGATCATAATCTTCCTACAGAATGTAGTATTTTTTTCATCTTTAACAGGAAGGAACTTTTTGCTGCTCCCCATAAAGGATTTTCCAGATCAGAAATGCTACAGCTTTTTTTAAGCTTTATTTTTTTAAAAATTTATTTACTTTTATGTGGTGCTGAGGATTAAACCCAGCGCCTCTCATGTGCAAGGTGAGCGCTCTACCACTGAGCCACAACCACAGCCCCAGAAAACTATAATTTTACATGAAGAATGAGTTACTAATTTGTGTAGCATAATCTTGCTTTTTATAATGAGGAAGTGGATTTTTTCTTCCTATATGGCAAAGGAAAATATGATCATCATTGTTGCTCAATACTGATAACTTTAACATGAGTTATATAGAAATTATTATCTAAATAGTCTGTAGTTTCATTACTTTCTCTAAAAATATTTCAGCCTAAAAAAGGTATCATTTACTTCACATCATCAATCAAAACCATACTCTCTTGAACACATTATGGATTAGAGTAATGTTTTTAAAAGGGCAAATGTTAACCCTGAACCATAGTTCCCTCTAGTGGAACTATAACACATTGCACACATCTGAAATATAAAATCTATTCAAAAATAATTTGGGGTTGCTAAAAAAGACAGTGAAGTAGAATCACCTCGGGTGCTTTCTAAAAATGCAGAATTCAAACTTTACCTTTGTGCTGCAAAACTCTACCACTGATTTAGAGAGGGCCCTGGCTGGAATCTGCATATTTAACACATGTCCAGGTGATTATAGCCAATAAGCTAACTTTTGGAAACTGGTGTATTCTGGTCCACACATGGATATCGCTTTTGATTTTGTAGGACCACCTGCAAATTCAAGAAAGTCCTGCTTCCAAATATGATAAAAGTTGTTTGCTTTGATAATTTTCACAGACTTGAATTGCAGCACCTGTGCTAAAGTCTGTATGCATAAACTAGAGTCCATCAAAGCCTTTAGCACTGAACCTGCCATGTAGTAGGCACTCAGTAACTGTGGTCTGAGTGAATGTTTATGTGTCACCTTTTTTAGTGTATGCAGTGCATGTAAGATCATTACCTACTTGCAAAGCTTGCTCTAAATTTGAAATGAAATGATTATGTTAAGTTCATTACAAGATACTTAGTATATGTAAGAATCTCAATGAACCTTAGCTGTTAATGCTTTTCTAATGTTTTAACTAGTGTCAAAGCTTAATGCTTCATTAGTAGTTCTTTTACTTCCAAAGACCTTAAAAAAAAAAAGAAAACCTTTTGGGGGTATTGGGCTCATGAATGCTTTGTCTCTTTGTCATGGTTAATATATGAAGTTCATGCTCTTAAAGTAGACAGTTAATTTCCATTACATTTACAGAGTTATGCAACCATCACCATAATGTAATTTTAGAATATTTGTATCTGCCCAAAATGAAACCACGGAGCTCCTGGTCTTTGTATTAGGTTTCAGATGCAAGTGGATCCATGAGAGTGACTGTGGTGGCTGAAGAAAACCCCTTCTCCATGGCAATGCTGCTTTCTGAAGAATGCTTTATTTTAGACCATGGTGCTGCAAAGCAGATTTTCGTATGGAAAGGTAAAAGATGCCATTGACTTTGATGCTGCATCTCAGATATAGCTATTTCCTTGGAAGGACAAATAAAACATCTTTTTTGATTTTTTTTAAACTGGTCTGCCTTTTTGAGAAATGATCTGTAAATATCTCACGTACAAGGCTGCTATGTTCCTCCTCCTAGCATCATTTAGCAGGGATTATGGAATTAAAGCACTTGGACAGCATAAAAAGAATCTCTTCACAAGCACTGTTTATTACTATATTACTAAACATTTTTAATGTACTAAATTTAAAATTTAAGAATTGCCATTCTGGCACTGTGATACTTAAATTAAAATCATGTTCATTTTTTTGGTACACATGCATTTCTTCATCATATAATATTTTCCTCTCTTAAATTTTCTCTTTAATTTACCTTCTATTTTAGGTAAAGATGCCAATCCCCAGGAGAGGAAGGCTGCAATGAAGACAGCTGAAGAATTTCTAGAGCAAATGAATTATTCCACCAATACCCAAGTATGTGTGAAAATGAATTGACTAGAAAAAAAATTTTACATGGGAGTCATGACATCTCCACAGAACTCACAGAAGAATTTGCTCAAAAGTAATATATGTGTATGAGGGCTTTCTCCACCAGTGTGTGCATTCTTGTGTCTTATGCCCCTAATACTTTATCTGTGTGGTGGAGAGGATTCTGCAGTTACTGCAGGTCAGACCTTTAGGGCGGCATGAGGAGGAAAAGCCCACTCACTTGCTTCACAGCCTTTAGATCAGGATAATCAAGTGCAGTAGATTTAGCTTAAAGCACTAATCATTTGTCCCTTAGAGCAGGTTATACAGAGCTGGGCTAATACCCAAATAGTATTTGTCATCATCAAGATCAACTTAGACACTGGATGATTATTCTTTTCCTTTCTGAATCTTTCAGCCTCAGCTATCATCTTCATTGTTATGTTCTGACACATGTGACACAATGTGATAATTTCTTCCAGGTCACAGCTCTCTTGTGAACCTAAGGTAGACAGCCAAACTTTGGGGACTATTATAGTGATTACATATGAAAGAAGTTGATTCTTATTTCAAACATTCAGATTCAGTGGCAATTATTTTAATTATGAGAAAAAGCAGGCTTGGATTATTTTAGCTTCACAGGCTTCTAAATTTATATCTGTAATCACAGAAACCCGGACAATAGTCTCATTTTTTTTCGTTCTTTCTCTCTTACTAATGTTATTCCATGATCTCTTGTTTTCCTATCTAATACTGTGGTTACTATTTTAAATTTCAGATTCAGGTTCTTCCAGAAGGAGGTGAAACACCAATCTTCAAACAGTTCTTTAAGGACTGGAAAGATAAAGACCAGAGCAATGGCTTTGGGAAAGTATATGTCACAGAGAGAGTGGCTCGGATAAAACAAGTTCCATTTGATGCCTCAAAATTGCACAGCTCTCCACAGATGGCAGCCCAGCACAACATGGTGGATGATGGTTCTGGCAAAGTAGAGGTATTTGTAGACCTGATTTTGTTTGTTTTTATAGTCCCACACATGTCAGCATATGTGGGACTATAGCTTTATGATATAATATCTATAATATGATGTATGTAATAGATATAATATAATATAGGAAACTGCAAATATTTTAAGATGTGAATCTTACTTAGTAATAAAGATGGTCCAAAATGGTACTTGAAATCATGGTAGTTAAAGCTGGAAAAGATAAGGTCTGATCTTCACTACCCATTTTGCATATGTATATGTTGAGATCCGGAGAAGTTAGGTGGTTTGTGCAAGTTCACCTCATGACCGTCTTAGAGATCTGAACAGAACATAGCATTTTTGTTTCCAAAAAAAAGAAAGAACAGTTCTTTCTCCCAGAAAGCCCATTTCTGGGGTTGTGCAGTGAGGGTTTGTTGCTTTGAGTGTAATATCTACCATTACTTTTCCCTCCCTCTTCACACTGGAGGCATTTATAGATGAGATCGGGTGTGTTCAGGGTAGTATGGCTGTAGACTGAAGGCATTTATAACAGCAAATTGAGCATGCATGTGTGCTAAAAACAGATAATTATTCGAGTATTCAAACTGAGTTTGTTGATCATTCCCTTTTAGATTTTAAAAACTGCTGAAAATCTCTTCACCCTCAATCCACTCTTTAGTTGTCTAAATGAGAACTGGATGATGTCACTCCCTTCTAAAATATTTTCATAGTTTTTTTTTCTTAGTCTGTCTGAAATCATCCCTCTTCAGTGATTTGACCCTTGCTCCCCTCTCTCTTCACCCTTCAGTGCCTGGGGTTCTGACTCTTCCCCTGGCCTTCTAGCAGCGTCCCCACTCCTCCCTCTGTCTGATTAACCTCCCACTCTCCTTGGCAGCTCCAACCTATCATTAGCTGTGACTCTTCTGAGAAGACTTCCAGCCTTTCTCAGTGCTCAACTTATAAGTGATCTTTTCCACGGGATTTATCACTTAAGTATCACAGAGTTGTTCATTCACTTACAGATTTCTCCTAGACCTTTCAGCAGTTCCTTGAGGACAGGAGTTAAAACATTTTACCACAGTCCTAGGACCAAACTATGTAGTCAAAAACTTTAAGAATAATTTTCCTTCTTTTCAAAGACATAAAATGTGAATTGAAGCTGCACAGAACCATGACAAAGAAGGTCATGTGTCAATCTTGGCCATCATCAGAGGGCTATTAACTTCGGGGTCTGGGACTATCTCCTGCTCAGATATCCTTTGTGGTGCTTAGCACAGGTGGTATGGTCACAGGACCCTTGACCAACTGTGTCCCTGATGCAGTCTCCATCTCAGACCGCAGCACCTCTGAGATGCCCTCCTGTGCCACCTAAGGACTGCTGAAATACAGTGACTGTCTAGGCTCCTGGGTTTCGTGGGTGATGCTGCTGCTTCTCCTCCACTCTCTTCCCACCTTCCCACTTCTCTCTGAAAGCACTACTCTGTTCTTCTCCACTTGCTCATCTCCATATTTCAAATCCAGGTGCTGCCCCGCTTCTTTCCTGGACCCAGGCAGGAGGATGTGCGCATGTGCACAAGCATGTGTACATCCGGTGATCTGGCAGTCTGAATGGTAACTTGTTGGTGTTTCCCCAACTCTCATCTTTCCAACTTGGAGTGTCTTTAATCTGTGATGAAGATGAGGAGGTTCTGTCTACTTTTATCCCCTGTTGGATCTTTTCAGTTTTATGCCTGTGTTGTGCCTTTTAAAAATGGAAGGCATGATATTGGCATCTGTCTTCATCTGTTCAGGCTGCTATAGCAGAAATAGCATAGATTGGGGTTTAAACAGTAAACATTTATTTCTCACAGTTCTGAAGCCTGGGAAGTTGAAATTTAAGGTTTTGATGGATTGGCTGTTTGGTTGGTGTCTGCTTCCTGGTTCATAGACTGCTGTCTTTTCGCTGTATCCTTGCATGATCAAGAAGGAGCTAGAGAGTCTGTAGGTTCCCTTTTATTAGGGTGCTGTTTCCATTCATGAGAGATTCACCCTCAGGATCTAATTACTTCCCAAAGGTCCTGTCTCCCAAAGTCATCACATTGAGAGATTAGGTTTCAACATGAATCCTGTTGGTGCCCTGAACCAACATTCACATTTGGTCCTAGTCTACCAACTCTTGCCTCAGAAAATACCTGTCTCATATCTTAATGCATAGAGAAGAAAAAAATATTTCATAGCTGATGAAAAATACTTATAAAGTTAGGAGATACATTTCTAAGCTGGATATTGTTTGGTGCTTTACTACAGTGTCATGTTATTTTAACTAATTGATGAAATAATAGATATTTATTAATCAACAGACTCAGAACTGAGCTAAATACTGTGAAGGAATTAAAAAAAATAGATGTGCTTAAAAAGTCAAAAAATTGCCAGTTTGATTGACCTTTTCCCCTTTGTTTGGTTTGTAAAGTAGTTAGAAAAATTATTTAAAAGTTATTTAATAATAGACCTAAACTAAAAGTAATTTAAAGCCTATAAAAAGCATTGTTAGATCAAGAAAATTTGAATAGTGTATGTCTATTCCATTTCTTTCAGATTTGGCGTGTAGAAAACAATGGTAGGGTCCAAATTGACCCAAACGCCTATGGTGAATTCTATGGTGGTGACTGCTACATTATCCTCTACACTTATCACAGAGGACAGATTATCTACACGTGGTAAGTTTACCGCTTTCACAAGAGCTCAAGTTCCACAGGGGCTAGATTTTGCTCCAAAGTATTAAATTTCATGCAGTACAGGATAGAATACTCCTGTCGTTACCCCAGAGAGATTTGTACAACATGCATATTATATTTTCTTTTGAATGTGCTTCTGACTGGTATCTGATGTTCCAAGAAGAAGGAGTTAGATAAAAGTCATCCTGTCTAGTCTAGGAAAAAAGTTTTGATATCCTAAATGGTACTGTCCTCTTATGGGATATGTGGTGAATTTTTCATCTCATATGCAGGCTAACCCTCTAGTGGCCAGCTTTGGGTACCATGTCTTACTGTTAAAACTCACAGAGGCCCAACCTGATTAGAGCTGCAGAAAACTGCAGTGAGGCATACTCTGGGGCAGGGAATGCAGGGAAATAATTTGTGATTCCATCACACATTCCAGAGACCTCAAAGTAATACATCCCTATTTTTTGTCTCTATGAAATTCATAACAGTATTGGAGAAAATATGCGAGCGTGGTCCCCATCTGCAAAGTTTTGCTTAATGATTTGAGTCAAATGAAGCTTGGGTTTACTTACTTTATTCAGAAGCCCTGCTCAAGGAGGAAGGAACAAATGTCCAACCAAGTAATTTATATGCCTAACCTATGCCTGGTGATTTCAAAGCATAGGGATTCTGAAATAAATCCTATAAAATGTGAAATCCTCCAACTTGTTATTAGGTAAAATATAATACTTGCTGAGAAGACAGGAAGAAAACTAATTCTCCAAAAAGATCACAAAGCTGAAAAGTATGGGTGGAAAGTATAAAGACCCTACCTTGGCTTTACAAGGTAGTGACAGTCTCTAAGGCATGTCGTGTCTCTACTGATAATAACCCTCACACCGGATGACAGAGTCACATCTGTTCCCAAAGTCCAACTATTCCTGCTGCTCAGTGCCTCAAGTCCCATCAAGTTCAGGAGATGGGATGATACTGACAGATAGTCTGGCAACCAGAAGCACTGCTAGAGCTTAGAAATGTGGACTTTTAGGTGTCACCTTTGACTCACTAGAATAGATTCTGCAAAAATACTCTAGAGAGTCAAAGGTGGGGCCTTGAAATCTACAAGTGATTTGTATATGATGAGCACTGCCTTTGTCAATGGTTCTAAACACCAGGCAGAATGCCGGAATAATTTGGACAATTTTTACACATCTAAATGCCTTCACCCCACATGAAATAAATCAGAATCTCAGGTGGTGGCATTCCTGTACACAATTATTAATGAGAACCACTGCACCCAGAGACGTTCCTAACCCCTCTGTCACTCCATATACCGCCCAAGGTGAATGTATATGGTTTAGAGCTAAATAGGTCATATTTCTAGCAACCATTGTCTGAGCAGCATGTTTGTACAGCAAGGTACTATTTATTTCCTTATATTGTCTTGTTTACCAAAAAAGAAAGCAAGTGGGATCAGATAGGTTTAGTAACTTAGATCACAACTGTTGTAACTGGCAAAATAATGTTCAAGCCTTGATCTGTAGGTCTCTCCCACTCTAGCTCTGAGTATAGCTGTCCCATAGCATAATGTCCTTACTTTGTAATTTCCTCTTCTAAAATTTTAATTTAGAAATGTTTGTGCAAAGCACAATATTTATAGAAAAAAATCAATTACTCCTAGTTAACTTCTCTTTCATTTTGTTTCATGATTTTTCTTATGTTCCTCTTTCTTGCTGTCTCTCTCTCTCTCTCTTTTTTTTTTTTTGGTGGGAGGAGTAAACAAAGGTTGAACTCAGGGTGCTTTAATCACTGAGCAATACCCCCAGCTTTTTAAATTTTTATTTTGAAACAGGCTTTCTCTAAGTTGCTTAGGGCCTTGCTAAGTAGCTGAGGCTGGCCTTGAATTTAGAATCTTCCTGCCTCAGCCTCCAAGCCATTGATTCTATTTTAAGTATAAAAAATGTAATTCATTGTGACAATAACAATTTACAATCCACATAAATACTTAAGTGAATATAACTAAACAGACTAAATGGGGTCACAAATTTTAAGTGGAGTAGTTATTCCTTGCATCTTTTGGAAGTGCTTATTGTGTACTTCATGTGCAAGGTATTGGGCTAGTTGCTGGAGATACAGTGATGGAAAAGAGCAAACAAGCAAAAAAGTGACCTGTGCCTTGAAGAACTTATACTTTATGAGAAGCAGATGATTGACAGGCATTTTTGGGGCGGTGGGGTTACTGACGATTGAACTCAGGGGCACTCAACCACTGAGTCACATCCCCAGCCCTATTTTGTATTTTATTTAGTGACAGGGTCTCACTGAGTTGCTTAGCACCTCATTTTTGCTGAGGCTGGCTTTGAACTTGCAATCCTCTGCCCCAGCCTCCTGAACTTCTGGGATTACAGGTATGTGCTGCCACACCTGGCTTGACAGACATTTTTAATGTAATGTAAAGGATTGTAAGATAAGACCAAGCTGAGTGACCTTTGGGGAACTATAGTCAGACGCCTAGCTTACTCCAAGGTGATTGGTGAAAAGTCCCTAAAAGTGACAGCTAAGTGGGAGCAGAAATAGAGGCAGATAGAAAAGAGAAGAGGGAAATTGTCCAAGAAATACAGGGAAACGTATGATCTAATCTAAGATGTATGGCTGGAGCAAATTTAGAGAGCAAAGGCAGTAAAACTAGAGAAATTAGAAGGAGCCAATTTGTGAATGACTTTGTAAATCGTGCTATGGAGGATAAAGTTTGTTTTCAGAGAACTGGGAGCCACTCGAAGAGTTTGCACAGGGAAATGACATGATTGATTTTCCCTTTAGAGAAATTACTCTGGTTGACATCTAAGGCAAGGATTGATGGGGGAAGACTAGAGGCAAGAAGGCCAGTGGGAATTGTTGGGCTAATACAGCTGAGTGATAATGAGGACTGAATTCAGGCATGGAAAGAATGAGACAAATTTGCAAGCTGTTAAGAAGCTGGCTTCAGCAATCATCAAGAGTACAGATGATAATAAATGCTGGAGAGGATGTGGAGAAAAATGGACACTTTTACACTGTTGGTGGGATTGTAATTTAGTACAACCCCTATGGAGATCAGCATGGAAGTTTCTCAAAAGACTAGGCAAGGAACTACCATATGACCCAACTATACCCCTCCTCCTTATTTATCCTACAAAATTAAAGTCATCATGCTGCAGTGGGACATGCATACCCATGTTTATACTATTTGTTAAGCAAAATAAGTCAAACTCAGAAGTTAGAGGTTGTGTGTTTTCTCTCATATGTGGAGACTAGAGAGGAAAAGGAAAAGAAAAATGTGGGGGTATCTCATGGAAATCAAAGGGAGATCAGTGGAGGAAGGGGACCCAGGAGTAGGAAGAGGGGAGAGAGAGGGAAAGTGTTGGGAGTGATACCGGCCAGATGATATTGTTCTATTGTGTGCATGGACGAATGTGTAACAACAAATCCCATTAGTATGTGTTAGCACTGGGCCAGACGCAAAGTCCATGGATCATCTCAGCTTTTTATGCAGGAACAGGGTATGCAGAAACAGGGTGAGGCGCCTCTGATGGACCCACTTTCCTGGTGGAAAATGAGCCACTGGCCAAAGGAGGAGTTTGGGCTTATATAGGTTATACTGAGGAGCCTGTTTGGCCACTTAGGAATTTGGGTTTGGGCGTTGGGGGTGTCTATGGCCAACACCTTGAGAGGATTTATTTTGAAAGAGATTAAAGCTTCCCAGAGACTATCATTCTAGGTTTGATGGGACACTTTCTCCCCACCTGCAGCCAGCATCTGAAAAGGATTTATCTTGAAAGAGATTAAAGCTATCAATGTATGGTTTTCTTTTTAACTCCCTTTTCCCATGCCACACTATCTTGGGGTTTTTCATTTTCCATATCTAACACTATGTATATCTATAATGCACCAATTTAAAAAGTTGGGGGAGGGGGTTAAAAAAAAAAAGAAAGAAGTTTGTCTCAGAAAGAGTGGTTATAGGGAACAGAGAAGACGGAGGCAAGGATGACCCGCAGGATTTTTGTGTGAGCATAAGTGGATAATGGTTCTTTTAAGGTAAATGAAGTGAAGATAGAGAACTCAGGAGGAGGACAGGTTGGCACATACTGCAAAAGATTCAAAGGGAAAAGAAGACAATGAGAATGCACACATTATGAATAGTTTCTACCCTTGCGATAAGATGGAGGTTGTCATCTGGTTTTCTTCTTCCCCATTTGAAGGAGTGGGAAAGTCTCAAAGGAGACTTGAGATTGGAAATGGTATTACAGGTGCTAATCAGTGATGTAATGAGAATGTTTTGAGCTCTAAAGTTTGAACATACTTGAGCATCTTTGCTAAATATTGAGCATCTTTGCTAAATACCTAAAACCATGGATGCTAAATATTTAAATTTGTAAAGATTGTATGGTTTGTGGATCTTCAAAGTTTCTATAAAGGTAATATGGAGGCATTTATAAAATAAGCAGTTCTCTTGAAGACTGACTTTCAAATTAAACAACTTTCGAGCTTACATGGTAATTTTGATAAAGGGAGATAATACATTAAGTCCAGGAGGCAGAGTGAAAAGGTGAAAACTGGAATTAAATGTACTTCTGAATACACAAATTTGTAGATTTCTTTCTTTCTTTCTTTCCCCCTGAACACAGAATGCAAAATAACAAACAAAGAGCAACTGAATTGTGTTGTGATTATGAAGAAATACTTGCCCTTCTGGGCGATAGGTCCATAAAGCAAGTTAGTATGAATCTGTGTGTATGGGAACATGGAGTTTTGGCAGGAACAGGAAAAGAAATTTAAGATAATTAGTGGAGGACTTGTTAAAGTGTCAGCAAAATTTTGGTGGTATTTTTCAAGTTTGCTAGTTGAAATATTCAAAAGAGGAAAAAAAAGAGCAAATGAAGACAAAATTTGGATGATACTGTCTATTAGTTGGTTGGATTTTTTTTTTCTCCAGAATAAAAAACAAAATGTGAAGCAGTTATTTTAACAAAAGCAGGGAGTGAAGACTTGGGAAGCTACATATGTGAAGAAGAATTAGTGCATAACAGCTCCCACACTGTGGACCATCACCTCGAGTAGCTGCTACCCCTCCACTTATGCTCCTGGCTCACAGAGGTGTTTCTTAAGAAGGGCTCATGGAAAATTGATATTGCTAACAATGAAAGGCTATGTTTAATGGGTGCCTTTAAAGTGACAATAAAAGATGTCTACATATATAGTTCTAGAAAACACACAGGACAATTCAGGGCTTGGTGTTAGTACTTTCAAACACAATAATCTTGACAGTTTATGTCATTAATTCAGTTGGTTTCTTGATCTTTCATAAGAACTGAAGTGTCTTCTTGGAATATCTACATGAGAAGGTTGTAAAACTTAAATACAAATATAGTTTAATGATCATGTAATGTGTATTTTGCTTTCATTTCCTCTAGGCAAGGAGCAAATGCCACAAGAGATGAGCTGACGACATCTGCGTTCCTGACGGTCCAGTTGGATCGGTCTCTGGGAGGACAGGCTACGCAGGTTGGGATGCTTTTATTCCCAAAGTTCATACAGGTTCAAGTTTGGCTAGTTCAATTTCTAGGTGCACCTCCCCTCCTAGGTTAGGATGGTAATTTGACATTTTCTTGATATTAACTTCCTTTTATGTTTGAATATAAATTCTCCCCTCCTACCATAGGAGTTCTCTCAGATTCTGGAACAGAGGGAGCAAACAAAAGCAAAATAAAGACAACAAAAAAAACCATTAACTGATTTAAGAGCCCCAAAGCATATTAGATCATATCACATGACAGTGGCAGTCACTTGACATTGAAACTCTTCTTCCCCGATGTCACTTCCAGCTGTTGCTTAACAGTTATAGACAGAAGGATACCCCCAACGCATGCACATCCAAACCCTGAGAACCTGTGGATTCATTGTATTGCAAGACAAAGGACACTTGAGATTGGAAATGGTATTACAGGTGCTCATCAGTTGACTTAAAACTAAGGAGGTTGCATGGGGCTAATGGGGGTGTGGTGGACAGAGTAGTCACCAGGGTTCTTAAGAGTAGAACAGGGAGTCTGGCAGATTTACAGGGATGGTGCAGCATGAAGAAGGCTCAACACAGTTGCTAGCTTTGACCATGGAAGGGGCTTCCTGGGCAACCTCTAAAAGCTGTGAAAAGGCAAGGAAGTGGATTCACCCTTTCAACCTGCAGAAAGTAGCAGAGCTCTGTGATAGCTTGACTGTAACCTAGTGACGAGATGCTCCCAGATTTTAGCCCAAGACTAAGTTAGCCTATAACTCATTTCTGACCTCCTGAACTGTAAGATAGTAAATTTGCTAATGGCAATTGGTTATAGAAGCAATAGAAAATACATACAACAGTATAGAGCAAGCCTAGGTAACTAGTTCTAGTTAATAAGCTAAAAAGAGGGACAATATTTTACACACTCTCAAATCCAAAAAGTGCATAAGTTATGTTTTACAAAGGCAAACTGCAGTCAAACTTGAAAGACACCAGTGATCTAATTTTTTTCTATTAGATCACCAGAGTTTTGACTGAACTAAAGTCAACACATAAAAGTGAAGGGAAAGTGCAAGAAAGGGGGAAGAGATGGACAGAAATGGGAGGGGGAGAGAAAGAAAAAGGATTGGGAAGAGTGAGTGAGGGGAAGAAAAAAGAGGTTAAGAGAAAAGAGAAGGGGAAGGAAAGGAGAAAGTTGGTGTGAGGGAGGAGAGAAGTGTATTCTTTTTTAAAAAAAATATGTTTTTACTTGTAGATGAACACACAGTATCTTTATTTATTTTTATGTGGTGCTAAGGATCGAACCCAGTGCCTCACACATGTGAGGCAAGTGCTTTACTACTGAGCTACAGCCCCAGTCTGAGAAGTAGATTCTTTATTTGGGCATTTCTGTCCATACAAAAAATAATTTGTTGAAAATGACTGAACCCAAATTCAAAATGACCATGCCATATAAGTACAATTGTGTTAGTGTGTGTGGAGAGAGAGAAATTGAAATGGAAAGAAGGGGGTGGGAAGAGGTAACATTTGGCTTTTATTATTATAAAAGTTTGTCACTCATGTCACTGTCTTATTCTAGATTTCCTCACCATGTCTAAGGGGCTGTTTTCAGCCTGGTTCAACCTTCTTTCCTCTTTTCTCAAGCTCTACCGATCCTCTTATGTTTGTGGTGCAGGATCTGCTATTTTTGCAGGACCCTTATTAGTAACCATGAGAAATTCTTTGGTATTTGCCTATTTAATTCCTAATTCTGAAATCTGACGTCAGTGGGTCCTGTTTCCCGCCAGAGTGTTCTAAGGTGTCTGTCTGTGTTCTTGTCAACCCTGGCAGTGGCACTTGTTTGACCCTTGACTCTAAAGCTAGCTTGAGAGCAGTCTCTCTGTCTTGTTCCTGTTCCCTCCCTCTCTTTATAGCTGCAGCTGCTCACTGCTGCTTGAGTGCTTTCTGCCTGCCCCAGTGTTTTCTCTGGCCAGTTTTTAGGAAGGTGTCTGCTTCCCATCTTCTGGGAAATGTGTCTTCCACACTGGGCTTCAGACTGAGAGTGGGTGTCGGCTTGACTGGCATGGCATAACATCACGTTCCCTTTGCAGGGCTGTGTGTCTGTTTAACTTCCTCATGGCTCATGTCAGGTGAGCTAAGATTCTGTGTGTAGACAAGAGTTAAGTTTTGTTTTCAGCTCTTTATAACACGTGATTACTTCTTTAAATGCAAAAGTTAGAGAGGTAAGTCCCATACTTTAGAACATAAAATCTAAGGTGGGAAGGCTGCCCTTGGTCTTTTAGTTGTTTTTTTTTTTTTTTTACCCACTTGGTACTTGTTAGCAGATTTAGAAAGCAAGATGGATCTCCACTTAAAGTGCATATTAAATGTTTTTCTAGCAAATTAACTTGCTAGTTATTATTAACAAGATGATTGAATTCTTTTTTAAAAAATTTTATAATTCTCTTTCCTTTTTGAGAGAGAGAATTTTTAATATTTATTTATTTAGTTCTCGGTGGACACAACATCTTTGTTGGTATGTGGTGCTGAGGATCGAACCCCGGCCGCACGCATGCCAGGCGAGGGTGCTACTGCTTGAGCCACATCCCCAGCCCCAATGATTGAATTCTTTATGTGCATTTAGCTTTTCCCTATGAAGTATTATTTTCATTTTTTGAATAAATTATTTCTGGCTAAGAACTGATGTCATCTATGTCATTTAGTTGATCTTTAAAGAACTCCTTGCCAAATTATTCAAAAATATATTTGTAGCTATGCATTACGCCTCACATGTTCCATATTTCATACAGGAATACCTATTCATGAATTTCCCTGAATTGGGCGAATCCAAAATTGACAACCAAATGGTAATTTTTAGTTTTCATCACTAGATGGCAGTAGTTTAATAATGTTTAAAAAACTGAAGTCCTGTTGCTGAATAAACATTCCTTTGTAGAGTATATTAACACTATTGAAAAAAATTTTTTTAATCTGCCTTATCTCTCTCTTATTCTCCTTTCACAGTAAAGCATGGACCTTACTGAGTGGCCCCCTTTCTTTTATGTTGGAAATTGAAGTTTTCTCACCATCACCTGAAATGCTAAGCAAATGGTTTTAAGTATGCCCTCCTCCCTGCCCCAAGCTCAGCGGCTGTGACTGATGAGATATTTTCCTAATCAACTCTATTATTTGAATGTCTACCAGTTGAAATGTATTTGTGAAGTCCATTATTTACAGTATTCCCTAGAGATACCTATTCATCTGGCTTCTGGAAAAAGACCAGGAGAAACGAGGTGGTTCTCTTTTAACACAGGGGAGAACAAATGAACAAGTAGTGGACTGAACCAGTATTTAAGCTCTTTATGTAAAAAAAAAAGAAAAAAAATGCACCGATAATTTATTTAAGAAATTAAATCCATTTGAATAGGTAAAATCAAGCAAATGATTTACCATTTATTTTATTCAATTTTCTTATCTTGTAAAGTCCTTATATAATAAAAAAAGTTGTTGATATTGAGCATTGTCTATTTTTACCATTTCTCTAGGTAAGTAAAAAGTATATGTTCAGTTTATTTTTGCCAGTGTCATCTCACACAAATGTGAATGTAGAAATAATAAGGGTGACTTTCTGTCTTTCTCATTCTTTGAAGGATTTGAGCATACATCTCAACCTTCTGAATGAGATTCAAAACACATGCAAGTCTAGTACATCCATAAATAACTGTAAAATGCTGGTGCTCTTGGAAGAAGAGTAATTTTTATTTAAGGTTGCAGATGCCAGTATTTTGTTGTTTTTGCCTTCTCCCTTTTAGAGATGTAGATGAACAAACTTCATCTTCGTGCTTTCTGAAAGCAGAAGGTGTTTCAGGGACATGGTGTCTGAGGTGACAGAGCATTGCCAGGTGAACCTGGAATTCCTGCTGGATTGTCACAAGCCTATAACTAGTCATCACTCCTTCTGCTCCTGCCTTTTTTTTTTTTTTATCCAAAACAGGAAAATAAGAACACATTTAGAAATGGAACCTTGTTTTATTGTACTTTGTATTCTGTTTCTTTTATTCCCCCTCCACCCAGGTCAGAGTCTCCCAAGGCAAAGAGCCTGCTCACCTGCTGAGTTTGTTCAAAGACAAGCCACTCATTATTTACAAGAATGGAACATCAAAGAAAGGAGGGCAGGCACCTGCCCCCCCTATACGCCTCTTTCAAGTCCGGAGAAACCTGGCATCTATCACCAGAATTGTGGAGGTAACGTCATGTGTTCAGCAAAATATGCCCTGATTATGCACTTCCCAGTGCACCTGAGCCATCTGCAAATAGTACCCTGTACATGATTGGCAAGTAAATTCTCTTCATTTCTATAATGAATCCACTGTGCACAATAAAAACCACTAAAAGCAGGAGGATTGCGTAAAATGTTAAGCTCCAGACACCGAGCTTCTCACATTTTTCAACTGCACCAAAGTCAAACAAATGGATTTTGAGAATATTATACTAAATGAAGCTGTCACAGGCAGGGGCGACCTAAGCTCCATCTTGAAAGGGCTGAGGAAGGGTTGTGGTGATGGTTAGGTGACTGACCACACTGGGGAAATTTGAGAGGGAAGGCTCTTGTTTGTACAAGTGTAACAAGCGTGGGAAGTGAACTTGGCCACATTGGACCAATCCCACCACACCTCACAGTTATCCCAGTTATCTCAGTCACTGTTGAAATCCAAGTCTCGCAAACACCCCTAGACTGCCCTGCGTACCCCCAGACCCGGTGCTGTGGAAATGTCTCCCAGCCCTTCCCTCTGCCATTCAGCTGAGCCCTTAAAACCCAGTCAGTCTTGTGTCCCTCCCCCTGCCACATCTCTGAGCCTCCCTTCCCTTCACCTTGCTCTGTGGTGGTCCTCTGAGAACTTCGAGTCCCATACATCTCTTTCAAGTGGAAACTGTTTTCTCCCAGTGCCCACTTACAGGGATGGGGCTGCACAGGGTCCTGTCCTTGCTCACTCTTGCCTCTTTCTTTCCTTTTTATTAGCTTCTCCTTCCTCTGCCCTCGTGTGCTGCCATCTACTGAGCTGGGCTTCAGCTGTTTTCTGTCACCTTTACTTTGGTTTCTCTCTTCCAATAATCTTTTCCTTGACTCCTTTTCATTTCACACTTGCATGGTCCTGCACTAAATCCTACCACAGCCAATAACTATGGCTCCTCAGAAATCTGTTTCAGTCATCTGACCTCTGACAACCATCTCCTGTCCTATGATCCTTTACCCTGAGAGGCACATTCTAGCAAATCTCCCATCCCGTAGCCAAATCCATGAACCCTCTTCATCCTTCACATTCTCCTCCTCCTCTCTCCCAGGTTTCCAGCATCCCCTGATCTCTGCTGATCACTTTGATTCAGAGTTCACAGAAACCATAAATATCACAAATGAATCACCTTATCAACACCCCCTCACAATGTCACCAACCTATCTGCATCTGTACATACGCATTCTTTTTCCCTTCTGTTTATATTAGTAATATATATAAATATTTACATATAAATAAGTTTTATAAATTAATATCAATGTTATCCATAAATTGGTGATCATATATTTTATAAAATGACATGCTAATAAACAAATAAATAAATAATTACTACATAGAATAAAAAATATGGCTCTTGCCTAAAACCAGGTTTCTCCCCCTGCCACCACCACACCATCAGCTTCTATAAAGGATCCACCCCCTCTTTCTTGCTTTCCTAGAAACTTTTCTGGATTTCTCTCCCTGTCTTTACCGCACTTCCAGTTCATCCTGAATGTAGGCCGTAATTTCCTTTCTCTTCTCTATCACTAATTTATTCTTATATCCTGAATTGTTTACTTAGATATTCTGAGATGCCTTAAAAAATAATTTCTTTAAAAGCTGTTTCCTGATCTGACCCTGATCTTCCCCACTGCCTCATGGTTCCTCTTTCCTTCCAGAGCACACTGATCCTGGGAAAGTTGTTTTCACTCACTCGCTGTCTCTGCCTGTTCTCTCTCAAGCCACTCCCATCACTTCCCACCTCTCCACCCAAGTGGTTTTTATCTAGCTTGACAGTGACCTGCCTCTGGTCACCATCAAAGGTCATTTCTCTGATCTCATTTTTCTTAACCTCCCACTGGCATTTGTCTCAGTGAATCTTTACTGTTTTATTGATCGCTTTTTTCCCCTTAAGTGTCTGTATTGCCACACTTGCCATGATTTTTTCCATGCCTACCAGCCTCCCTCCTAGGGCTGATTTGGCAGGGTTTCCCCCAGCTTTACCTCTAAGGACCTGAGTGTGCCAGGGCTCAGTCTTGGCCCTCTTCAGCCATATAGTTGAAATGCTGGGCTTGTATTGATCTCAGCATGTATTCCGTTATGACTAATTTTTTAAAGTCTATAATATCAACAATTTAGGCACAACCATCAGGAGGCACCACACACCTTTGTAGGTTCAAACAGCAATTCTTTATTCCCTCTCTCACACCGCCTCCACACAGGTCCAGGGGCAATTGCGTTCTACCGTCTCCCGCACAATTCACCTACTCCTCGAGGCTATCTCCAAATCCCATTTTAATCTCACGAGAACTCAA